TTCGGGTCAATGCCAGGCATGTCCTCATGGGACCACGCAAAGACATCCGAGTTGGACCTGAGGAAGTGGATTAGTTCCTCTCTGTCGGTGGCCCCCAGCTTGGTTCCTATGCTCACTTGCTTCCCGGGACTAAGCAGAGGAACAAGCTCGAGCTCCTCAGTGGGTGCGGCAAACTCCCTCCTTGGCAGGTGGGCCTCGAACTCGAGCGTCCCATCCCCACTGGTGAGAGTTTCAAGGGCACAGACCAATGTACCTTTGAGTGCGGAGGCATAGCACTCCCTTGAAGCGGTCTGTTCTCCTCGGACCGTGCCCACGCCATTGAGGGTGGAATACTTCAAAACTTGATGAAGTGTCGAGGGAATGGCCCGAAATGAATGGATGATGGGTCTCCCAAAGATGGCGTTATAGGCCGATCTACCGTCAATCACCACGAACTCGGCCATTTGGGTGACCTGAGTTTGGTCCTGCCCAAATGTGATCGGCAAGTCGATGCAACCCTCTGTGATGACGGACTCTCCAGAGAACCCAACCAGCGGTGTCGGGCTTTTCATCAATTGCGACCTCGTCCATCCCAGGGCGAGGTAGGTCGATAAGGACAGGATGTTAGCAGATGCGCCTCCGTCTACCAGCACCCTTCTGACCACCACATGAGCAATCAAGGGAGCGATCACAAGTGCATCATTGTGGGGCAGGTCGGCCTCTGCTCCCTGATGATGCACACCTCGCGCCTGGCTGCACGAGCTAACTCCTTTCTTTTATGTCCAGACTGGCCCCCGCTTGGCCCTCCGAAAATGGTATTGATGACCGCAGGTCGGTCAGTGCGCCGGGGCGGCGTCCTCGAACGCTCCCGCTTTTCCTTTTTCTCTGCCGAGCTGGTCCTAGGCTTTCCCACAAATTTATTGAAGTAACCATCTTGAATTAGATCCTCAATTTGGCGCTTCAACTCCCAGCAATCTGACGTGTTATGGCCGTGCTCCCGATGGAAGCGGCAATACTTATCCTTGCTGCGGCTCCCCGAAGCTTCTCAGGGCGTTTGAGGAGTTTTTTCATTCCAGACTCCTTGATGGTCGTTAGGATCTCGGAAATTGGAATCGTGGTCGGGGTGAAGCGTTCGTAAGGTCGGCTCCTGGTAGGTCCGTTCTCCACCCTTCGATACTCAGCTCGGCCACTGGAGAAGGATCTCTTGTCCTTGGACTTCGGATCTGCATTTTCTATATCTTTTCCACTTCTGCCCCGGCCGATCTTTCGTTCTGGTTGGCCGGTTTTGGTTCGGAGGAGCTCCTGTCCATCGATGACTTTCTT